CATTTCTCATTCCCTTTGCCCTGGGGAAAGCATGTCAGCTGGTCATGGTGTTTGGCCTGGCAGGATGACTCAAACCTTCATTACTGAAGAGTCTGAACCATTAGATGTCCTGCCTAGATGGGGTTGCTATAATTTTTCATTAACTCTAATCATAAAACACAGGAGTACTAAGAAGCTTTCTAGATATATCAGGCATAGTGTTCCTTAGTCCCTGGCGTAGTAGGAACCCCATATGCATTTTTCTTTTTCACTTTCCATCAGCCGAGCCAGTAGTGGATCCCCTCAAGCCAGTCTCTTGGTTCAGATGAATGAAGAGTTCAAAGTGGTCACCTTGTAGACACAACTTTCATTTCAATAGAATCATTTTTGATTCCCCTGTTGAAAAAATTTCTCAATTTGTAACTAAAACCTCTAGTCCAGCAGAGCCAAGAGTTTGCTTCTTGAGAGCAAAGTTTGGCTTTTGAACACAAGAAGCAAAATTTTGCTACTAGATACCCAGGAGTAACAGTGAGAGGCCTGCATATTGCCTCCTTCATTCTTGAGGACATAAATGTAGCTATGGGAAAAACAGTTTCATATACTTGATGCTGCGATACAGCATTGCCACCTCCTAGATTGTCAGCCAAGCCCCAAAGGCACTGCCAGGAAGGCATTACTACAACTCAGGCTTTAAAAGATCATTTCACTGTACTATTGAGCCAGACACTTCAGGATGGTGAAGAACATCAGGAGACTTGTGTAATCCATTAGCATGATCTCATTGCCATATTCATTTCCTGTAAAGTTTAAAACTGGTGCAGTGTGGGATACCACAATAGTGGATACAGCCTTTCAATACAGCCTTTCCTAATACCACAGTGTTGGTTTTCTTGAAGTGCCGTGGGTAGGAATGAAAATCCATATCCAGAAGAAGTGTCTATTTGAGGAAGATCAGAGTGATGCTCCTTCAATTGTGGAAGCAGACCCAAGTAATCACAGTGCCACCTGGAAGCTGACTGATCACTCTGGGACATGGTGCCATATTGGGGAATCAGTGTTGGTCTCTGCAGCTAGCAGGTTGAATAGTCAGCAGTTACTGTAGTGACATGGACCTGGTAAATGAAAGTTCATGTTGCCAAGCCCATGAATAACCTCTATCAGCCACCATAATCATGATGCACCATTACTACTTAAAAGATAGAGGGGTGCACCGAAGGATGTATGGATGTGGCTCAGGTAGCTTATTGTGGCCTCAGAGAAGACCACAAGTATACGGCTACCTCAGCTCTACAAATTTAAGAAGTTCGACCTGCCAGTAACCGAAATGAGCTTGAAAACCGTTTCTCTCTGAGTCTTCAATTAGTCACTAGCTTGGTTGATACCTTAACTTTGATTTTGTGAGATCCTAAGCAAAGAAACCAATCTAGACTGCTTGGATTTCTGATGTACAGAACTGCTTATATATTTGTGTTGTTCTAAGCTGCTAAATTGTGGCTAATTTGTTTTGCAGCAGTAACAAACTAATGTGGTACCTGCATATTCTGAAGTAACAAATGAAAATCAGTTACGATGTTTTTTACTTTCTAGTCAACTGGTCACAGGGAGCTACACGTGAGACCACGGGTATAGGATGAGATAATTTTCTCTTTTTCTGGGCCCAATCCATGCTAGCAGGGTTTCAGTCACTTGTCAATGGGTCACGGTACTGAACAACATTGAGGTATACGCTAAAACAAGCATCTATTACAAAAAAAAAAACCCCAAAACTTAACCTTGTTGACTTTGTGTAACTACCAAAGATTGGGGATATACCAGATCTGGACCCTTAGAAGACTGGCCTGGCATCCCAGTACATCTCCATGGACAAACTCACTGGACCACAGAATGGGGACGGTCAATACCGTCAGGCCCAACGGTCAATACCAAGGGATTTTGTTGTGTCAGGTCATGGATTCCTTAAGTTCCTCCTCTTAATTATCAACAGCAGTTCAAATGTCCCAAAAAGAAAAAAAATGCTTTCTTACATACCTTTTATCCAGAGCAGTTCTTCTTCTGCCTTTACAGTAATCATGCCAGTGCTGCCACTTTTGTAGAACTCCAGGAGAGACAGTGTAGCTGAAACTTTGTCACTGGGTCACCTATCTGAGTCAATACATCTGCAGGAACTAAACTAATAAGTGGACACCTCATCCAGGAAACCAATTTTTTTGCTCTATGATGTCCCTGGACTGGCACCACCTCTATTTCCTATCAACAAAACGACAACCTCTAGGTTTTGCTGAGGCCATCCTTGCATGAAAAGCCCTTATTCGTCCCATCTCAACGTATCCCCCAAGGACTGTGAACATATCCTATCTAAAGATAACTCTGCCTGTGGTCAAACCCTAAAAGGGGAACTTTATTGAAAGATCTTATTAATGCCACCACCGAACTCTGCCATTCATTAACGGGTCCAGTAACCACTGCCAACTTAGCTGCACAAAAGCTTTCGATTATAGGCCAGAAAACAGGAGACCCCTTTTATAGGCCCTCCACTGCTTTCACAACTTTAATGCAAATACTTTTGCAGCAAAAATTTCATCATCAAACAAATTTTGGAGGTTTGCAGATCTTCAGCATATCTATAATTACCCACTATGGAAGGCGCGATGCTCAATCGCTTAGGTTTCCCTTATCTAACTTTCACATGAGCTAACACATCTCTCCCTTTCCCCATGTACCAGCATAGCAAGATTCGGCTCCCAGCAAGACCCTGTATTCCCTTAAGCTGACTACTGCCCTCTCTATTGGGATTATCATGGTCAGCTACGGGAGGTAGAGCCTCGACATCCAGCATAACCTGTTTTAGGAGATGACGGTGGCCCTCCCACAAACGGCAGAGGGCCTCCCTACACTTCAACAGCAGCTGGACTCCCTAGCCTTTATAGTCCTACAAAACCGAAAAGCCTTCAATCTCACAGTCTGTCAAAGAGAAACATGTTTGTGTCTGAAAGATGAATGCTCTTTTTACGTCAATCAGTCTGGTTTAGTCCAAGAAAATATCAGAAATGTCATCACCAAGGCAAACAAAATTAACACTTTAGGAACTTCCATGGGAACTGGAAGCATTAGCTATTGTCTGCTCTGCTCCCTTTAACAGTGTCAGTTGTTAACATGCTTTTAGTTTTGACTTTTGGTCCCACTGTGTTTAAAATGCTGATTTCCTAGTCTCTTGCTTACAGCTTCTCCAGGTCCATATGATGATGGTTTTGCAAGACTTTCAACCTTGGGCTGCTAATGAGGTATCTCATGTCTTGCCCACAGTCCTGTGAACAACGTGGTTCACACCCCGTTGGATCAGGCAGGAAGAGACTTTAGGGCCCAGGCTAGGCAGGAAGAATGCCCCACTCAGCAGGAAGCAGCTTCAGAAGAAATGACCTGGCCCCCTCAACCTCCCACATGATTCTAGGCCATAAGATCTCTTAGAGGGTAATCAAGCAGGAGAGGCAGTCAAGGAAATGACCATGTTGCACGCAGCAACCGTGGGGACCGTACAACCAACACAATAAGCCTCAGCATTCACATTGCAGTTAAGCTCATTCAAGCAAGGCTGTCTTCAGCAGGGATTTTGCTCTGCAGAGAACATGTGTACTTTGATTTTACCGGTCCTCAAACTGACCCTTTGCTCATTATAATAGTAAAAACACACCCCTGGGTGGAGATTTAAGACGCTAATGTGACATGTGAATTATTAACAAGCATGGGAAGCTACTGGGCATGAGCACCCAGAGGACCACCCAGAACATGTTTACTAGTAACACCTCTTCCCACCTCCTTATGAATAATCATGTAAGGCTCCCATAAAGGGAGTTTCCCAGGTAATAATCCATGCTGTCTCGTCCTTAGGAGCAGCCAGCCCTGAATCCCTTCTGTCTCTCCCAGGGTGTACTGTCTTTTCTGCACCTAACTTTCAAAAATATTATTTTTCCTTTGCAATAAGTTACTCTATGCTGCATCTCCTTTGCTAAGTGCCTCTTGTTTAAATTATTTTAAGCTAAGAAAACAAGAACCAATGTCACAGAACAGCCAGCACTACCACTTTTGTTGATTTAATCACCTTCTGCAAACCATCGTCTATTAAACTATGTGTCTGCATATACATACCATAATACACTTTCATTTTGGAAACGCATCACGGGGAACAGGACATTCTGCTTCAAAATTCTACTTTAATTCTTCCAATCTTTGAACCCCCTTCGTTGAGTTTCAAACATCTGATTCTGTCACATTACTGCTAAAATGTATTCGCGGAGAACCAGATAAAGACAAACATTGTTTGGAATAAATGATCCAGTCAGGGTGAATCCACTTTCTGTTAGCGTGTTTTCTTATATGTCCTTGTTTTTTGTTTGTTTGTTTGTTTGCTTTGAGACGGGTACTCGCGCTGTCACCCAGGCTGGAGCGTGCCTGTGGGATCACAGCTCACTGCAGCCTTGATATCCTGAGCTCAAATGATCCTCCCACCTCAGCCTCCTGAGTAGCTGGGACTACAGGTGTGCACCACCACACCCGGCTATTTTTTGTATCTTTTGTAGAGATGGGTTCTCGCCATGTTGCCCAGGTTAGTCTCATACTCCTGGGCTTAAGTGATCCTCCCACCTCAGCTTCCCAGTGTGCTGGGGTTTGGCAAGTCCGGAAATATTTGCCCCCTTGTCCGGTATTATATGTGAGATAAGAGCCCTATAGAGACAGAATAGTCATGTAACAATACTCTATCACACCAATTCTACGTAACAACTCCCTTTTATGCAGATAGATGTTTAAAATTAAATAGATATTTCACATTATATCTAGAAGACTATATCTAGAACATTATAGCTAGAGGAATAGAGTGGAAGCACCCAGTGAGGGTGTGTTTGCCGAAATACCACCCTCAGTAAGCAGAGTGGCTCTCACCATAAATACTTGGGGCTCCTGGGTCTGGGCAAGGAGTAGCCCTGACCCTGTAGGTTGGATATTTGGCTTCTTAGATTCTGTTCCAGCACTAGCTGCCTATGACCTGGGAGGGGTCTATCCCTTCTTGTGGCCTCATCATATATGCATATATATACATATTACATATATGCATATATACACACATGTGTATATGTGTGTGTGAGATCATGTGAATGCCTTTTTCTGTATACATGCTTTTTAAAGATCATGAGGAACTGTCTGCTGTCAGCTGGCAAGATCAGCAGAACCTCTTCTTGGGGTCTTCCTACCTCAGCTTATATCAAATCTCTAAGTGAAAGAGGCAGGAGGCAGAGACACTCTAGGCAGACAAGGGTACATCCTTGGTGAAACCCCATCTTCAAGCTGAAAACCCTCAAGTGAGAGCTTCTATCCCAGTTTGGCCACTCTCTGCCCAATGATTCTTTCTAAATAATGTCTTTTTACCAGTCGAATGTTGCCTTTTCCAAAACTACCTACGGCCTGCTCTGCCCTTCATCCCATGGCTATAAACACCCCACATACAGCCAGTAGAGAGGAGAAGCAGCTGGACATAAGGGAGAGGTGATTTGTCTTCAGAGATGATGGCTGGATGTTGGGGAGGAGCAACTTGACTTGAGAGGAGAAAGGCAGAGAAGCAATTTGATTTCAGGGGAGTGCACCCTGCCCTTCCCGTCCCCTTTCCAGCTCTCCTCTCTGCTGAGAGCTGCTTTCATCACACAATAAAACTCTTTGCACTCACCATCCTTCAATTCATTTGCATGATCTCATTCTTCTTGGGCACCAGACAAGAATTTGGGACCCACCAAGTGTGGGTACCCAAAAAGGCTGTCACACTGGCCCTTTGCCCTTGTTGACAGAGGGCAACCACCTCACGCAATGAGGCAAAGGTCCTACTGAGCTGATAACACACTGCTGTCTGTGGATGGTGGAGCTAAGAAAGCATTTTAACATACCATCTGGGGCCTTGGGGTCTCAGGCACTCCTACCTGGATGCTGCCACAGCGCCTCCACGGAGTTTGCTTTTGCCAGTGCCAATGCAGCCAGCCAGTTCCCATGCTCACTTGTCTACACGCTACCTCCCATGAGGAGTGGGGTGTGGTGGGCCCAAGGAAACGGGGTTTGCTCCTCTGGTTGGGCACCCCTGTCACGAGTCCTGTGAAGGGGTCAAGAAAATATCCTGCATCATAAACTTATGTCCCAAACTAGTCCTTAGGGATCTTGATCTCCTTTCCCTCCCACCATGTGACAGAATTTCTTTGCATTGATGACATTGTGTTGATTGGGCAGGACCGGCAACTACTCTAGACACACTATTAACATATTGACATGATAACCTAAGGATCAATTCACACAAAAATATCAGGGGCCTTTTAACGTAGTGAAATATTTAGTGGTCAAGTGCTCAGAGGCATGTGAACATAGCACTTATCAGGTCAACAGCAAGTTGGCACACCTCACCCTTCCTACCACTCAAAGGGGACAGGAAAAATAGTAGGGCTCCTTAGTATCTGGTGGTGGTGACATGTACCTCATTGAAGTGTGCTGCTGTGACTTATCTGCTACTGACTGGAAAATCTGCTACACCCGAGTTTGGGCTGTACAAGAAAAAGCTCTCTGAACCCACACCTATGGCTCCAAGGGGTGTTCCTTGTGAACAGAGTTGTCTCAAAAACAACCCAAAACTCCCCAGCCCTGGCTTATTTACTGTTCTTTCTTTACAAGGCGCTGGCAGCACCTGTGTTAGTTTTCTACTGCCACATGACCAATCACTGCAAACTGAGTGGCCTAAAACAACACGCCTGTATTATCCACAGTTCTGCAAGTCAAGACCAGGAAGGCTCAACAGGCCTCTCTGCTGAGTGTCTCCCAAGGCCAACTCAAAATGGGCTGGCTGGGTGCTAACGTGGAGACTGTGGAATAATCCACTTCTGAGCTTATTCAGGCTATTGCTCATTTAGATCTAGTTGCTTAAGGTGGTAGGAGTGTGGTTCCCATTTTTTGGCTGACTGTCATCCAGGGACTGCTCTAAATGCCTAGAGCCACCCTACACCTTCTCGGGAGCACTGCTTTATCCTCAGAGAGGGCCTGCTGTGTCACATCCTTCTTGTGCTTTGACTCTTAGCTTTTCTTCTGCTCCTGGGTGAGGAAAATGCTCTGCTTTTCGAGGATTCCCCTGCCAGGTCTGGCCCACCCACACCACATTCATGTCTCAAGATTAAGTGACTTGAGACCTTAATTCTTCAGCAAAATCCCACCATAGCAGTATTAGGATTAGTGATTGAGTATACAGGAGATGGGAATCTGGGGAATCAGACTACAGCTGTCTCAGTCAGCTCCAGCTGCTATCACAGAATGCCACAGACTGGGTAGCTTCATCACCAGGCATTTCTTTCTCAGGGTTCTGGAGGCCAGAAGTCCAAGATCGGGGTGCCAGCATGCTCAAATTCTGGTGAGGGTCCTCTTCCTGGCTTGCAGTCAGCCACCCTGCTATATCCTCACATGTTGAAGAGGCATGGAAGAACAAATTCTCTTTTCTCTAATCATAAAGGCATTAATCTCACCATAGGGACCCAACCATCATGACCACATCAAAACCTAACTACCTCCCAAAGGCTCCACCTGCAAATATCATCCCATTGGGATTTAGGGTTTCATCATATGAATTCTCAGAGGTCACACATATTCAGTCCATTCATAATGCCTGCCTACCACACAAGCCAGAAGTGGACAGCAGCATTATGACAGGACCAACTGGGATAGCCCTGAAGGTCAGTGGAGAAGGGAAACTTTCCAAGAGGGAAGAGCTTTCAGCAGTGCTCCTGTGTGGCAGAGAGATGCCCAGACCTATAAGTATGTATCCTTGTATATGCTGTGTCTCATTTGTTGGGTGTATGATCAGGAACCTTGTGGACACACAATTGAAAATTTGTGACAAGGAGGTCTGGGGAAAAATATGTGGACAGACCTGTCCAAGTGGACATTCAGTGTGAAGATATTTGAATCTCATGAAAGTTCTCACCAAAGGGTAACCTCAGCAGAGCAGAATTGCAATAATCTAGTGGATAAGACACCTATTGTCTAGATATTAATCAGCCTCTTTCTCTAACACTTGTGTCATAACCACACGGGCTCACAAAGTGGTCAAGGTGACAGGGATAGAGATTATGCTTCAGTAGCAATGACTTCCACTCACCAAGGCCAGCCTGTCTACAGTTAACAGAGATATGGAACAGCCAAGGGTCCCCAGTGAAATCCCACCTTCAAGCCCAAAATGGCCTGAAGTTTGAAAAATCGGACTGCCGGTCCCAAATGAAACCCGCGACCGAGAGGAAGAACTGGCACTGTTTGTTCACCCTTTCCAAACTGATTATTTCTTAAGAATATCCACATGTGCACTGGGAGAACAGGGCGGAGCCACAGGAAGTTTGCGCCTTGTGCAGGGGTAGCGGTGGGAGCCTCGTCTCTTCGGTTCCTGTGTGGTGGCCCCAAATCAATCTGGGAGGTGGGAGCCTGTTAATAGGACTCCCTCTTGCTTTGCTGAGAGTCTTTTTCCTTCCTTTTTTTCCTTTTCACCCAATAAATTCCGCTCACACCTTTCAATGTGTGCGCGAACCTAACCTTTCCTGGTCATGTGAAAAGAACTCACTTTTGGCTGAACTAAGGAGCAAAATTCTACAACATAGCCATTGTTGTACGACTGCTAGTGTACAATCTTCCGGAAACAGAGCAACACTGAGCCTCTTATATGGCACCTGTCTCCAGGGTGATCAGCCAGCTACCAGATGGCAGGTGATTACATTGGACCATTTCCATTATGGAAGGGACAGGACTGTGTTCTTACTCAAATAAGATAGTTATTCTGAATATGGATCTTCCTTCCCACCAAAAGTACTTTGAGAAAAATCAACATTTGTGCACTTAGAAAAATACCTTACATACCATCAAGGTATTTCACACAGAATCACCTCTAAACAAGGCACTCACTTCACAGAAAATTAAGTGCAGCAATGGGTCCATTTTCATAGGAAATCACTGGAATAAATGGTCTTATTTTTTATATTCTCCTCTCCCCCCATGATCTTTTTTTTTTGAGATGATACTATGTTTCCCATGCTGGTCTTGAACACCAATTCAGCCTCCCAAAGTCTCTGCCATTATCTTAAAGTGACTGGATCAACAGAACAGTGGAATGGACTTGTGGAACTGTTACAGTGCTAGCTAGTTGGCAGTACCTTGCAGGTCTGAGAAATTATTTTTAGGAAGCGGTGTTTGCTGTATGTATGCATCCAACATACTTTGCTTTCTCTCCCATAGTCAGGATTCATGGGTCCTAGATTCCAGGGGTATAACTGGGGGTGTCTCTACTCACTCTATACTCCAGTGACCCACTAGCAAAAACGTTTCCTATTCTCCTGACTTCAGGCTCTGCTGAAATAGAAGTCTTATTTCCAAAGGAAGAAACACTTTCACCAAGGGACACAGCAGTGATTCCACTGAAAAAAAGATTCATACTGTCAGCTGGCCATTTTGGTCTCTTCATCACTTTCCATTTAGAGGCAAAGGAGGGGGTCATCTACTGGCTTGGGATGATGAACCTGACGATCAAAGGGGGATTAATTGCACTACACCAGGGCTAAAAAGGAGTATGTTTGCTGTGTCTAGAGAGCTTCTTAGTTCTCCCATGATTTTTGATTACACTTAATGGAAAATTACAGCAACCCAATCCAGGCAGGATATCTAATGGTCCAGACTGTTCAGTAATGAAGGTTTAAGTCATCCTGCCAGGCCAAGCACCATGACCAGCTGACATACTATCTCAGGGCAAAGGGAATGGGAAATGGGTAGTGAAAAAAAGACAGTTATAAATACCAGCTATAACAATGTGAGTTGCTGCAGAAACCAGGACTATAATACTTAATACCTTGGTGAGTTATTAACTCATCCCCCTCCTCAGGTGGAAGAACAAACCAACAAACAAACAACAAAAGTACAGCTTTTACTATCAGAGATTTATGAAACATTAAAAGCTCCCACTTATTTTTCTTAGCTTCTGTAAGGGAATTCTCTTCACTTCAAACTACAGGGAGCTTCAGCAATAACTTGCTCCATCCTACGGCATATCTCCTTGTTTCTCCTTGGTCTTTGCACTAATGCAATTATTTTTTCCTCATGTGCTTAACTTTTCTGAGATGGCAGTGGGAATCTATTTCTTTAAGCACCTTCTTGAATTGCTGAATTAACACAACTTTTTTAAACCTGAAATTAAAGAGGTATTCCGTTAACCAGAGGATACCTACAGCATCTATGATATGTAAGAAGTAGTAGTGGATAGAAAATAGAGTTTACAATCTACATGCAATAGAAAATGCATCCTCATGGAAAAATACAAACTAGAAAAAGACCAAGTGAGTCAATTAAGGGCCCACACCCACTCCCAGGTTATGACAAATTTGGAAGGCTCCATGGCATTGGAAAAAAAGTGTTAGAATAAGATAATATCAACCTAAATGTTTGGGGAAATAGCATGAACTATGACTGAGGGCCAGGGATTAGGAAGAACAAGGCATGATTTGTTCCTGCTCCTGTCCCAAACTGCACACAAGTGCTTAAAACAATAGAAGAGTTTCCTTTTGCACCTACCTTGCTGCTTCCTTGATGATAAATTCAACAAATGGTCTCTTGACTTTCAGAGATCCTTGTACTTCTTCAAGCAAAATGAAAATTCTTTCATAATATGAAGATATTTTAAAAATTATTATTTCTACAATTATAAAAATGAAATATACCTCAACCTTAGTGCATCCACTACCACAGTATACATTTTTTATGGGCTACAATGTTACATAGTGTTTGTGTTTTGCATGTTTAAATCACAGCATCTGTATGTTACTAAGGAAACTATCATGAACACTAACAAAAAAACACTTAAGCAGATGTATTAGAAATTTTCAGTGAAATTAAGGAGAAGCCATGCTAAACTATATACAGATCCAATTCAGCCAAACAATGAGCTCAAGGGGCAGCATAATTGTTTTCTAAATCATAGAATGAGAGACTTCTCAGGCTTTCATTGATAGACATTCTTGCACTACTTACTTTGCCCAAACCTTCAAACTTCTTTCATTAATTGATATATCATCATTAATTTTCTTTGCCATAGCAGGAGATATTTGTGTCGTATTTGGCACAGTTTCCATTGAAGATATTGCTGTGACTGGTGAGTCACCTGCAGAGACACTGTTGTTTTGGGTTCCTACCACAAACTCATTACTATTAATTTTGTAAAGCAGCTCATCTTTGCTGAGACTAGTGAAGTTGTAAGAGAAAGAATCCAATGGGTTGGGTGGCATACGATCTCCTGTCATATTTATAAGCTCTGGTGGAGCAGAATCTGACAGGAAGCCATCAGGAGGGGTTTGACCATTTTCCAACTCCTCCTTCTTGATATCGTTAATGGCAGTAGCATTTGGAAACCAAATGTAAAAGCTGAGCTGTGAGGTAAGTGCATAATGTCACCCCCACAGGTATATCCCTCTGCTGCTCAGTTATTAGGAAGTTACCTCATAAAGCAGGAGAATATACCAGGTGGCTATCCGAGACCCCTCAGCCTGAGCTCAGGAAAGACAATACAACAAAACCACCTACTTCCCTGCAGGACACTATGCATGCGTATGGAAACCAGGTAGGACAGTACAACCAATACACAAACATACAGAGATCCCTGGTACTCGTGGATGAAGTACCAGCTCCTGACAGATTAATACGCCCTGGTGGAACCACTGACAAGGAGTTATCAGGTGCTTCTTGGCCATTTTTCATCTTCTCCTCATGGAGACTATGATTGTTGGTGGCATCTGGAAACAAAATGAAGAGGTCGAGCTATGAGGTAAGTGCATAATGACTACCCCACTGATGCTCAGCTTCTAGAAAATTATTCCGTAAAGCAGGACGATATGCCAGGTGGCAATCACAGAACCTTGAAATTCAGGCAAGAAAAGATAATACCACAAAACCACCTTCTTCCCTTGATGACACTATGCATGTATATGGAAATCAACTACAACAGTACAACTTATAAGAAAACATGTACAGATCCCTGATACTCATGGCTGGAAAATACCAGCTTCTGCCATATTAATAAACCCTGATGCAACAGTTGACAAGAAGTTATGAGGTGCTGGTTGGACTTTTTGTATCTTCTCTTCACAGACATTGTGAGTGATGGTAGCATCTGGAAACCAAATGAACAGGTTGAGCTGTGAGGTAAGTGCATTATGTCAACTCGACAGGTATATCTCTCCGATGTTACGTTTCTAGGAAATTATTTCATAAAGCAGGAGAGGATATGCCAGGTGACAATCTGAGACACCTCAAATTGAGCTCATGAAAGATAATATAACAAAACCACCTTCTTCTCCTTATGACACTATGTATTCATATGGAAACCAAGTAGGACAGTACAATCAGTAAACAGACATACACAGATCCCTGGGACTCATGGCTGGAATACCAGCTCCTGCCAAATTAATAAGCCCTGGTGTTAACAGTGGACAGTAAGTTATCTGGTGCTGGTTGGCCGTTTTTATAGTCTTTTCGCCGACATTGTGAGTGATGGTAGCATCTGCAAATCTAGTGAACAGGTTACGCTGTGAGGAAAGTGCATTATGTCAACCCCACTGGTATATCCCTCTGATGCTGAGTTTCTAGGAAATTATTGCACAAAGCAAGAGGACATGCCAGTTGGCAACCTGAAACCCCTTAAATTGAGCTCACGAAAGATAATAAAACAAACCACCTTCCCCGCTTCATGACATTATGCATGCATATGGAAACCAAGGAGGACAATCCAACTTACAAGCGAACATACAGAGATCATTAGTACTCATGGCTGGAATACCAGCTCCTGCCATATTAATAAGCCCTGGCAGAATAGCTGACAAGATGGTATCAGGTGCTGGTTGGCCATCTTCCATCTTCTCTTCATGGACATTGTGAGTGACAGTAGAGTCTAGAAACCAAAACAACAAGTCAAGCTGTGAGGTAAGTGCATTATGTCAACAACATGTATCTATGCCTCTCATGCTCAGTTTTTAGGACATTATCTCATAAAGCAGAAGGATATGCCAGGTGGCGATCTGAGACCCCTCAGATTGAGCTCACAAAAGATAATACAATAAAACCACCTTCTTCAACTTATGACACTGCATGCATATGGAAACCAAGTAGAAACAACTAGTAAACAAACATACACTGATCCCTGGTACTCATGGGTGGAATGTTAGCTCCTGACAGATTAATAAGCACTCGTGTAATGGTTGGCAAAAAGTTATCAGGTGCTGGATGGCCATTATTTATCTTCTCTTCACAGACATTATGAGTGACTGTAGCATCTGAAAATCAAATGAAAAGGTTGAGCTGTGAGATACATGCATTATGTCAACCCCACAGGTATATCCCTCTGATGCTCAATTTCTAAGAAATTATTTCATAAATAAGGAGAGGATATGCCAGGTGGTGATCTGAGATCACTCAAATTGAGCTCACAAAAGAAAGTACAACCAAATTACCTTCTTCCCCTGATGACACTATGCATACATATGAAAACCAAGTAGGACAATCCAACTTATAAGCAAATGTACACAGATACCTGGTACTCATGGATGAAATACCATTGGCTTCCATATTAATAATCCCAGGTAGAGCTGTTTACAGGACATTATCAGGTACTGGTCAGCCATTTTGCATCTTATCTTCACGGACACTGTGAGTGACAGTAGCAACAGGAAAATATAATAGGTTTAAAATTTGGAAAGAAATAAAACCATCATTAGTCACAGATGATATTGTTCTGTACATAGAAAATGTAAAACAGGCCGGACTTCCTCCACGATGGATGAATAGGAACAGCTCCAGTCTGCAGTTCCCAGTGAGAGAGTAACAGAAGATGAGTGATCTCTGCATTTCCAACTGAGATACCAAGTTCATCTCATTGAGACTGTTGAGACAGTAGGAACAGCCCAAGGTAGGCAAGCCAAAGCAGGGTGGGGCATTGCTTCACCTGAAGGGCACAAGGGGCCAGAGTACTCTCTCTCCCAGCCAAGGGAAGCCATTAGGGACTTTTCTGGACACTTCAGTACTCCGGCTCAGATACTACACTTTTCCCACAGTCTATACAACCTACAGACCAGGAGATTCCCTCTGACACTTACAATGCCAGCGCCCAGGTTTCCAGCATGAAACTAGGCGGCCACTTTAGTCTAGTGGCACCTGGAATGCCAACGAGACACAACTGCTAATTCCCCCTGAAAAAGGGGACTGAAGCCAGAGAGCCAAGCGAGCTGGCTCAGCAGGTCCCACCCCTACGAACACCAGCAAGCTAAAATCCACTGGCAGTCTGAGTTTGACCTGGGATGTTCAAGCTTGGTAGGGGGAGGGGCACCCGCCATTGCTGATGCTCCAGTAAGAGGTTTCAACATTGCTGTGTAAACAAAGCCACCGGGACGTTTACACAGCAGCTGGGCAGAGCCCAGCATGGCAGCTCAGCAAGGCCTCTCTGCAGGCAGACTGTCAAGCAGATTCCCTTCTTGCTGGGCAGAGCATCTCAGAAAAATACAAAAGAGAGCAGATCGTCAGGGAATTACAAAGCCCCCAGCTTTCTGGGATAGAGCACCTGGGAAAAGGGGCGGTTGTGGGTTCAACTTCAGCAGACTTAAACATCACTGCCTGGCAGCCCTGAAGGGAGCAACGGATCCCCCAGCACAGTGCTTGAGCTCCATTAAGGGACAGGCTGCCTCCTCAAGTGTCTCCCTGACCCCCTCCCCCCACATGTGTCCTAACTGGGAGACACATCGAGCTCTGGCTGACATCTGGCAGGTACCCTTTTGGGACAAAGCTACCAGAAGACAGAACAGGCAGCAACCTTTGCTGTTCTGCAGACCCTGCTGGTGACTCCCAGGCAAGCAGGGTCTGGAGTGGACCTCCAGCAAACTCCAGAAGACTTGCAGCAGAGGGGCCTGACTGTTAGAAGGAAAACTAACAAACAGAAAGAAATAGCTTCAACATAAACAGAAAGGGCGTCTACTCAGAAACCCAAACCAAAAGTCACCAACTTCAAAGACCAAAGGTAGATAAATCCACAAAGATAGGAAGGAACCAGCAGAAAAAAGCTGAAATCACCAAAAGCCAGAATGCCTCTTCTCCTCCAAGGGGTCACCACCCCTCACCAGCAAGGGAACTAAATTGGATGGAGAATGAGTGTGATGAACTGACAGAAGCAGGCTTCAGAAGGTGGGCAATAACAAACTACTCTGAGCTAAAGGAGGATATTCTAACCCAATGTAAGGAAACTAAGGATATTGAAAAAAGGTTAGATGAAATGCTAACAAGAATAACCAGCATTGAAAAGAACATAAACGACATGATGGAGCTGAAAAACACAGCACAAGAACTTCATGAAGCATACACAAGTTTCAATAGCCAAATCGATCAATCAGAGATAGAAGATCAACTTAATGAAATAAAGCATGAATACAAGACTAGAGCAAAAAGAATAAAAAGGAACAAATAAAGCCTTCAAGAAATATNAAGATCAACATGATGAAATAAAGTGAGAAGGCAAGATTAGAGAAAAAAGAGTGAAAAGAAATGAACAAAGCCTGCAAGAAATATGGGATTATGTGAAAAGACCAAATCTACATTTGATCAGTGTGCCTGAAAGTGATGGGGAGAACAAAACCAAGCTGAAAAACACTCTTCAGGAGGATATTATCCAGGAGAACTTCCCCAGCCTAACAAGGCAGGCCAACATTCAAATATAGGAAATACAGAGAACACCACAAAAGTATTACTCGAGAAGAGCAACTCCAAGGCATATAATCATCAGATTCACCAGGGTTAAATGAAGGAAAAAATGCTAAGGGCAGCCAGAGAGGAAAGGTCAGGTTGCCCACAAAGGGAAGCCCATCAGACTCACAGCGGATCTCTCAGCAGAAACCCTACAAGCCAGAAGACAGTGGGGGCCAATATTCAACATCCTAAAAGAAAAGAATTTTCAACCCAGAATTTCATATCCAGCCAAACTAAGCTTCATAAGTGAAGGAAAAATAAAATCCTTTGGGCACATGCAAGTACTCAGAGATTTCGTCACCACCAGGCCAGCTCTACAAGCGCTCCTGAAGGAAGCACTAAACATGGAAAGGAACAACCAGTACCAGCCACTGCAAAAGCAGACCAAACTGTAAAGACCATTGATACTATGAAGAAACTGTGTCAACTAATGGGCAAAACAACCAGCTAGCATCAAAATGGCAAGACCAAATTCACACACAACAATATTAACCTTAAATGTAAATGGGCTAACTGCCCCAATCAAAAGACACAGACTGGCAAATTGGATAAAAAGTCAAGACCCATCAGTGTGCTGTATTCAGGAAACCCACCTCATGTGCAAAGAAACACATAGGCTCAAAATAAAGGGATGGAGGAAGATTTACCGAGCAAATGGAGAGCAAAAAAAAGCGGGGGTTGCAATCCTAGTCTCTGATAAAACAGACTCCAAACCAACAAAGATCAAAAGAGACAAAGAAGGGCATTACATAATGGTTAAGGGATTAATGCAACAAGAAGAGCTAACTATCCTAAATATATATGCACCCAATACAGGAGCACCCAGATACATAAGGCAAGTTCTTAATGACTTACAAAGAGACTTAGACTCCCACACAATAATAGTGGGAGACCTTAACACACCATGGTCAATACTAGACAGATCAATGAGACAGAAAATTAATGAGGATATCCAAGACTTGAACTCAGATCTGGACTAAGCAGACCTAATAGATATCTACAGAACTCTCCACCCCAAAACCACAGAATATACATTCTTCTCAGCACCTCATTGCACTTATTCTAAAATTGACCATATAATTGGAAGTAAAACACTCCTCAGCAAATGTAAAAGAATGGAAATAATAACAAACAGTCTATCAGACCACAGTGCAATCAAATTAGAACTCAGGATTAAGAAACTCACTCAAAACTGCACAACTACATGGAAACTAAACAACCTGCTCCTGAATGACTACTGGATAAATAATGAAATGAAGGCAGAAATAAAGATGTTCTTCAAAACCAGTGAGAAACAAGACAGAACATTCCAGAATCTCTGGAACACATTTAAAGCAGTGTCTAGAGGGCTCTAAATGCCCACCAGAGAAGCAAGGAAAGATATAAAATCAACACCCTAATGTCACGATTAAAAGAACTAGAGGAGCAAGATCAAACAAATTCAAAAGCTAGCAGAAGGCAAGAAATAACTAAGTTCAAAGCAGAACTGAAGGAGAGAGACACAAAAAAATCCTTCAAAAAATGTATAAATCCAGGAGCTGGTTTTTTGAAAAGATCAACAAAATAGATAGTCGGCTAGCCAGACTAATAAAAAAGAAAAGAGGTAAGATTCAAATAGATTAAATAAAAAATGATAAAGGGGATATCACCACTGATCCCACAGAAATACAAACTACCATCATAGGTTACTACAAACGCCTGTATGTACATAAACCAGTAAATCTAAAAGAAATGGTTAGATTCCTGGACACTTACACCCTCCCAAAACTAAACCAGAAAGAAGTTGAATTCCTGAATAGACCAATAACAAGGTCTGAAGTTGAGGCAGCAATTAATAGCCTACCAACTAAAATATGTCCAGGCCAGATGGGTTCACAGCCGAATTCTACCAGAGGTACAAAGAGGAGCTGGTACCATTCCTTCTGAAACTATTTCAAACAACATAAAAAGAGAGAATCCGCCCTAACTCATTTTATGAGACCATCATCATGATATCAAAACCTGGCAGAGATACAACTAAAAAAGAAAATTTCAGGCCAATATCCATGAAGAATATTGATGCAGAAATCTTCAATAAAATACTGGCAAATCAAATCCAACAGCACATCGAAAAGCTTATCCATTGTGATCAAGTTGGCTTCATCCCAGGGATGCAAGGCTGGTTCAACATCTGCAAATCTATAAACGTAATCCATCACGTAAACAGAACCAAAGACAAAAACCACATGCTTATCTCAATAGATGCAGAGAAGGCCTTCAACAAAATTCAACAGCCCTTTATGCTAAAAATTTTCAATAAACTAGACATCTATGGATCATATCTCAAAATAATAAAAGCTATTTATGACAAACCCACAGCCAATATCATACTGAATGGGCAATAACTGGAAGCATTCCCTTTGAAAATCGGCACAAGACGAGAATGCCTTCTCTCACCATTCCTATTCAACATAGTATTGGAAGTTTTGGCTAGGGCCGTCAGGCAAGAGAAAGAAATAAAGAGTATTTAAATAGGAAGAGAGGACGTCAAGTTGTCCCTGTTTGCAGATGACATGATTGTATATTTAGAAAACCCATTGTCTCAGCCCCAAATCTTCTTAAGCTGATAAGCAACTTCAGCAAAGTCTCAGGATACAAAATAAATGTGCAAAATTCGCAAGCATTCCTATACACCAATAATAGACAAACAGAGAGCCAAATCACAAGTGAACTCCCGTTCACAATTACTACAAAGAGAATAAAATACCTAGGAATACAACTAACAAGGGATGTGAAGGACCTCTTCAAGGAGAACTACAAACCACTGCTCAAGGAAATAAGAGAGGACACAAACAGATGGAGAAATATTCCATGATCATGGTTAGGAAGAATCAATATCGTGAACATTGCCATACTGCCCAAAGTAATGTATAGATTCAACGCTGTCCCCATCAAGCTACCAC